TAAAAGGTCAGTGTGTATTTGTACGCGAATGCGTCCCTCTGCAGGCGGGGCGTCCAAGAGTGGAGGCGGTCTGCGCCGTGTCTTTAAAAATGTGGCGCCCCAGGACCCCCGCTGCCACCTTTTCCTGTTAACCTATCGAGTGGTAAATATCACATATAATACCGTCCGCCCGGGCCCGCATGTGGCCCCCGCCCTTCTCGGAACTGTCTAGAACGAGGGGGATTCAAATGACTACGCGGACCACCAAATAACTTTTAGGCCTCAGTGCCACCCATTAGTATGAGCCCTCGCTTTGTATAGGCGTAAAAAAAAAAAAAAAAAGATGCTGAAGAGAAATATTTTCTGTTATGGTGCTTTCAAATTGACAGTTGAACTAAAAAGTGTTTCCATCTAGTGGTCAGCAGAGGAACTGCACCCAAAATATGCAGCAGACAGAACAAAAGTATGAGTGGGTAACTGTCCCGGGCGTGCTGGAGCCTATCTCAGCTGTCTACGGGCAGTAGGCGGGGGACACCCTGAACTGGTAATACACGTAGATAACCATTTACACTCACACCTAAGGATGATAATAGATAGCTAATAAGAGTGTTCAATTAACCTACCCTGCGTGTTTTTTGAATGTGGCAGGAAACCGGAGTACCCGGAAAAAAACCCACGCAGGCAAGGAGAGAACATGCCAACTCCACAACACAGGAAGGCCGTGGCCCAGAATGGAACCCCATGACCTCTCCACTATGATTAGTCTTGTCATTTTAGAAGGCTTGTGCATCTGCGTGTCAATGTCTTATCTTTCCCTGTAAGTGTTTATCATTTCCCCCTGAGATGCAATTTCCATACAAATTTGAACTCCAAAAGACAATATAAACATGCAAAGCGACCGCAAACATGTGATGAATGCTTCTTATAAGAGAGTTTCACTCAGGCTGCTTCTGCTGATACACCCATCCATTTTGAAAACATTGGTAAGGGGAAAAAAATGAATAAATAAATAATAGAACACGTCTAACACGGAATTTGCATGTCAGACTGCAGGTCGGACATGTTGTGAATTTTCTAACAATAAATGAAATAACAGGTTAAAAAGGTTGAATAAAACAAGGAAAATTTTTAAAAAACTGACCGAGTAAAACATTTTTTAGACTTTAAATAATTTTAAATTTAAAAATAAAATCATACATAACTATACAAACACATACAGTATAAAAATATTTCAGGTGCAAAGAAAGGAGATTAAATATTACAAAATACATTTATAAATGTTTAGAAAAAAGAAATCGAGAAAAATAACCATGTAACAGTCAAATTAAAAGAGCAGAATTAAGCATGGAACACTAGAGATTTTTTTAAACTATTACACGTGAAAAGAAAATGTAAAAAAAGATATAATTTTATATCATTTTAAAATACAATTTAAAAATTACATTAGTATAAAAAATGTTTTAAACAAAAACAAATTCAGATAATTTTTTGAATAGGCATTCGCTTTCTGTCTTAAATGTAATAAGGAAACAAAATAAAACATTTTTTTTAAACTTGAGCAATTAATTTAAGCAAAAAATAGTACACATACAACATGATGATAAATCATGCTTAAGGAAATGATAATTTAATTATACAACTGTTTTGATCAGATTAAAACTCAAATTAAATGTAATTACAAAATGAAAAAAAGTCATCTTACAAATAACATGTTTTTCACCGATTATAAAAATGAAAAATAACAGCACGAAGACCCCCCCCCCCTTTTTTTGGGAGCACACATTCGGCAACTCCTTTTCCAGAGATTGACAAATTGACAGAAGATATGTGCAGCGCCTTTTGACACAACAACCATGATACAAGCCTCGCTCCCCTCAAAAGACATTTTGTAGCATCCCCCTAACCCAACCTCGTCTTCCCCCGGTCTGACATTTGAAAGGAAATCCGCAAACAAGGCGGAGCGTTCGGACCACGTGGAGCGCCGGACTCCATTACGAGCCATTAAGCAGCGCGACGGGCTGTTTGGAAAAGACTGAAGCTGGCACGATCGATTAAGAGCAGTTTAACTGTCTGACGCGGCCGCACGCTAACTCCCCCTCACACACGCGCACACACAGAAGAGAGAGACAGGAAGCAGAAAGGCATCACGACTATAAAGTGCTTTCCAGGACTTGCAAATCACCGTTTCTCATTCCTGGATTTCTTTCAACAAACCAATCGCCTTTTTGGAGGCCCGATCCTGCCCGAAAATGCAACAAGTGTCTTGGGACATATTTGAGGGATGCCGAACACGATGCGAATTGTCAGACATCGCCAATGATCAGAAGGTCAAACTGGTGTGTTGGCAACATGACATTGTTAGTGAGATTCTAACAAGTCTATAATCACGAAAATGGTAGAAGTTGCGGCTAGGCTGTGAAACGTGTCCATGTTCGGAGGGGAAAGAAAAAAAAAAGCCAGCAGCATCTGCATCAGCGGCCTCATCAGCATCGGTGGCAAGCTGCGAGACGGAGCAGAGGGGCTAATCATCTCGCAGCCCTCCAGCACACACAGATCAGCTGGATAAATACGTGCTAAGCAAACAGCGACCAAACAAAGAGGTATACATCTCATTTGTGCAATTAAAATAAAAACGACTTGGCAGCCACGTCTCTCTTTTCCCGCTGTGGAGGGCTGCGCATTCCAACAAATGTTTGCATTGCCATTTGTATTCTCCAGTGCTGCTCTGATGTTGTTTGTGCACTGTTTCTCTTACAAAGCGGACAAACACGGAGCCACCTATTTAAAAAAATAAAAAATAAAAAAACTTCAATGCTCAAGAAAACAACCAAAAGCTGCCTGGTGTCTTGTTGGTAGGAATCAGTGACAAAGGTGTACAACAAGCGCAACACTTTGATTTAACATTACATGAAAAAAAAACATTGGAAATTTACTTTTCATTAATGAGCAAACCCCAAAACCAGTGAGTGCCTCTTGCGGGCAGATTTCATCGGACTCCCATCACAACTGCCCCGATGACCAATAAACCCCGGCTGGAAAAGGCAATGTAACAAATAAAGATGACAGTTTTGCCACTAATCGAGGCTGATATATCACCATGCACAGTACCGGATGCAGTAAAAATCACCGTGAGGAAACAATTTGAATGTATGAAATGAAAGAAATGTTTCTTTTGTTTTGTTTTTCCATGCAATCATTTCTCCGGCGAGGCGACGCGTTGACCGTAATTACGGGCGGAAGAAGATACGCGGCATAAATGTGACATTGGCGTTAAGCCGTCCTCTTGAATTATGCTATCCGCTGGTGGCAGCGGCTTCTCGCCTTATCTTATCGCCAACCAATAACCTTTTGCGGTGCTCGTCGCAAATGTTTTACACCGTAGTAAAGTAGCCAGCTTGAGTACGATGGGGGCGGGGGGGTCACATAGATACTTCCTGGATCCTTGTAAAAATATGACTGGCAGAGTGGTAGTGGAGATAAAGCTATGCAGCCGTTGTTAGCTCAGAATACTAAAATTCTGCGTGAAATCATGCTCTGCTTTTGTTAGCTCAAAATGCTAATGTATGCTACTACAACAAGATGTCTGCCTCAAAATTGACTGTTTTAGTCCCCATGACTTATAAATATGTCTTGGAAAACCACGACGGCCGCCTAACCATGACGTATTTTTACGTATTTTGCTGGGGTTTTTTTTTTTTGCTTCATAGTGTGCTCAAGGCTCTGACGCAGCCACATGTGCACTTCCACATGCAAACATACACCAGCACACACTCACTGAACTCATTGTTTCACTTCTGTTCATAGTTTAATTCATCAGTTCGATGTGCAAATGTTTTTGCAATCAATAATGTGGGGTTATTTATGTTGTTTTCTGGAGGGTGTCTTATTTAGATGTTTGAGCTCTCAAAAAGGAAAAAAACAAAAAAAATTGCTGTGCCAGACTTGAAATTATGCTCGAAATGCATGCTGTTACAAAAAAGGTATTTTTCTCCATTTTTTTCCCTCAGAAACTGGAAATCTGATGAAATGTAGCCAGTTTCTAATACTGATTGCTAAAGAATGGAAAAAGAAACAAACTCACTTATCTCCAGCTGAAAGAGGAGAGTCTCATATTTCTTTTGGTAGGCTGCATGTTTATATTGCAATAGAACACAATAATCACCGGGCCTTGCGAGATCATTTAAAAGCCAGTAAAAACGGCAGGGAAAGAGGGGTTTGCTCCAGTGAAAATGGTTGGGATGCAATGAGTGAATAGGCACACCTATAGCCCGCTTCACGATAAGCATCCATCCATTCATCCATCTCCGTTGGATTATGCGACAAGTGACGCTGTTGTTAACTCAAAATGCCAACAGTAGGTTCCTAATGTTAGCCTTAAAAGCTGAGCATTTATCCCGTTACGACTAAAGCACTTTAATGTCGTGCCGTTATGTTTTGTTTTTTTTTTGCTCATTATGCTAACGTTATGCTAATAAGTAAGTCATTACAACTCGTGTTAGCTTAGCTGGCTAAGCTAATGAGAGCGAGAGAGAGAGAGAGAGCAACAGGGACCATGTTGCTCCTTGGTTGTCCTTAGCTCTGTTCGTATGTCACTCAAGAGCATAGGTGTCAAACTTATTTTGGGAGTGGGCCAATTTGGAGTTACGTCTTCCCTCGGTGGGCCATTATGACAGTGAAACCACAAAATTATTACTTGTACAGAACAAATTAACAGAGGACTTGTTTTGAAATCAGCCAAGTCAATTATAATAGTTTGTTCAATTATTGTTCACGTGAGTGTAAACTGGGTAACAAAATTATTGGAAAATCTCAACGTTATTTATTACACATAACAATTTGACATTTCGGTACAGATTATAGCAAATTGACACACATGATTTGCTTTCGCGGGCCACATAAAATGACCTTGCGGGCCCGATCTGGCCCCGGGGCCTTGAGTTTGACACATGCTCAAGAGAATGTTTGGAAATCATTCAAAACAGGCTGCGATTGGGTGGCAGAATTAGCACATTAGCTTGTACCTGCACCAGGTTCCATCCCTCCAAGGACTCTGCAATGATGGAGGTGACGGAGGGGCAGACGCCGCCAAAGATCATCAGCTGTTTGGGTCCGTAACAGATGGCGTCGAAGAAGGCTCGCAGGCCTATGGCGTTGTCACACTGCGCACAAAAAAAAAAAAAAGACAAACAGGGAAATTAAGTGACCCGTTTTATGTACTTTGTGCCTAATATTCTCTGCGCTGGAAAGAAAAGGAAAAGAAATAAAGATTTTCCAAAGTCTTTTTTTTCCCCCCGACAAACTTTTAGGCTTTCAGGTTGGCTGGTTGATTGAATGATTGTGTGGTTAAAAGGGTTGGATGGATGTTTGTTTAACTGAATGTGGGGAACACATGACACAACAGGACAAGGTTGGAGTAAACACTACCGAATCCCACTGCATATAGCGGCGAAATGAACCCAAACTATTTGTGGCGAAGTTCCCTAGGCCACGAATGAAGAAATTGGAGAAATGAATGAATGGTTGGATGATGGCTAATGGTGAGGCAGTGGTATCAAGGAGACGCGAGGGATTGGGGCTGACAAACACAACAAGACAATGCTCATGACACAGTCAGGCCCAGGTACTGACTACAAACAGAACATGGGACACTCAAACTTCCTCTAAAATACAAACCAAAAAGGTTTGTACAAAGGGGGGAAAAAAACGTGGTTAACACACCAAAACAATCCCAGTTCAATCCAAAAACTACACCTGTGCAGGTACTGACTACAAACACAACCCCCCCCTCAACCGCGATGAGTATTCGCATGTTTTTCGAGAGCCCAAACCACGACAGCACACCACACCACTTTCTGCTCCTCCCCAACTCCCATACATATGTTAGACCCTTTCTCAGTTGCCATCATGTGGAAAGGTTGAATGCTTAGTTTGGTTAGAATGGATCAATGAATGGTTGGATGACTAGTTAGTCGTTTGCACAGCAGCATAGATGGTTGGATGGCTGGTTGGAGGGCTGTATGGATGGATGTGTTGTTGTTGTATGTGTCAAACACATTTTTGTCACGGGCCACTTTGGAGTTACGTCTTCCCTTGGAGGGGCCGTTACGACAGTGAAACCGAATAAATGTTTAATCATCTCATTGTATCTATTACTTGTACACAACAAATGGATGGTCGACCAGTTTTGGAATAAGTCGACTGTTTTTTTTCTTGTTTGTTCATTTAGTGTTCAAGTGAGTGTAAACAGAGTAACACAATGATTGCAAAATGTCCAGATTTTAGCAAGGATCATGGAAGTTGACGCACATGATTTGCCTTCGCGGGCCACATAAAAGGACGTTGTGGGCCGGATCTGGCCCCAAGGCCTTGAGTTTGACACCTGCGTTATATAGGGATTATAATGGATGGATAGATGGTTGACTGGTTGTGTCCAAGCTGGATGTATGAAGGGATAGCTGGTGTGGTTAGAATTGGTGCATGGATGGATGACTGGATAGTTGATTGGTTGGTTGGGTGGGTGGACTGTTTAGTTCAACTGCGACAGTTATTTATAATTATGGGTGCTGTGATGGATGGTTGTTTTGTATAGAATGGATAAAAAAGGCAGATGGTTACCCATTTGGGTGTGTGCTTGGCACTCTGGCTGGCTGGATGGTGGGGCTACATTGATCGATGGATGGTTATAATGTCGGGTTAGATGACTGGAATGTTGCAAAGGTGCATTGATGGATGGTTGAGTTCTGAAGAATAGATGAATGGTTGGCTGGTTTGGCTACATCGCATAGCTGGAGGGATGTTTTAATGGATGGATTAAAAAAATGGATGGTTGCATAGATGGGCAGACAGATGGACAGAGCTTTTTGCAGGAAATACTGCCGCAGCATCCGCTGGCATGTGATGCTGCGTCGCCATGGCAACTGCAAAAATGAGGGGCGGTAGAAGGAAGAAGAAAAAGAAGGGAAGGAGGAAGAGTCCACTGATCGCGACACGAGCTAACTAGTTTTGCTGTGATTCGCGCGCTCGCTAATGATATCAGCAGCCCTCACTCTTCTATTATTGACACTCCATTCTCACAGATTGAGTGCGTGTATATGTGTGTGTGTGTGTGTGTGTGTGCCACGCCAGTGCACCTCATCTGTGGAGTCATTTGACCTTGTTAGCCATGAGTTGGCAAGCTGAATGAGATTTCCCGCCGAACAACAGCACGGCGGCCCCTCTGCCACGCTCCCATTGAGGGAAACAAAAAAAAAAAAAAAAAAAAAGAAGGAAAAGAAATAGGAAATCCAATCAAATGCCCGTGATGGGCTTTATTAAGGAGGGGCAAGTGATGTGCCACGGAGGGCCTCCTGTTGCCTGCGTTTCACTCAGAAGTGTCCAGAAACAGCTTGGAATCAATTCAACCAACAATTTAGTAACACTTCTTATGAAAGTTACTCAAAGTAACCCCATTAGAGGTTGAAAATGACAGCATAAGCATCACGGTTTTCTAATTCTGGGACGAACTTTTTCTTAACCGTTTTGCAACTTTGAAGTGACAGTAAGAAATTGAGTTTTATGAAAGGACCCAGTGTTTCTTAACATCTGGTAGCCATCTCTTTCATACCAAAAATAATGAAAAGCAGCAGTTGTAGAAGAAAATGATTTCATCATAGCATTCTACATTTGTCACCATCTGGTATGCAGGATGTCATCCAAAAAACATCTTTCCCACATGCATGGTACTTCCCAAGTCTCCCGAAACAGATGCCAAATACAATAAGTGGTTTTGTGGTACGACGAGGAAGTCATGAGAGCACTTAACTCTCGGCTGGAGCGTCAAGGAATACTACGACCACTTTATTCCCCCCCCCCATCCCTCAGTCTGAAAATCCAATTCCTGGCATTTGGAGCCCATTTGGTGACGATCGATGGGGTTAACGTCTGCAGTAATCTGCTGGAGCGGCCGCCTGGCCAAGGAGAGGTGTGTGGGAGGTGGCATGGGGCAGGATGAGGGTACAGTGAAACTCCTCTACAATGAAATCTACACGGGCAAAAATACCCCCTAGTGTGAAAACATTTTCATGCATGAAAGCCATTCCCACTTTTCTGCTCCCCCAACAACGAAAAGTCCCCCTGTTCCGGAGAAAAGGGCAGCATGGCATTGGTGAGGGCACATGGGAGGGACTAAGGCAAACTGGGAGCAACAAACGGGAGACTTGGGCAAAGGCACATTGGGAAAGAGTGGGTAGTAGCAAGGAGGTGATGAGGCATGGAGTGAGGTCCAGGAGACGAGAAGGCACCAGGATGGAAGAAGTGAGGGCAACTGGGCAGGAGCATAGAGGTTGCATGGGTGAGAAGTCTGGGGACACACATGGTGAAGAGCTTGAGGGTGAAGACACATGGAGAAGGGGTTCGGGGGCAGTTTATGGGTGAGTAGATGGGTTGAGGGAGCCTGATCGGGGGCCTGGGGCAGATAAGGGGATTGGGGGCATCATTGGCGAGGGGTTATGGGCAAGAGGTGGGGGCCCCTAGCTCGATTTGACATTTCCATCATTTTGCGGGATTAGTGGCCAAACGATCACTTTGTTCCCCAAACACGTTCAATCGGTCATCTTCACTGCGTTTCCGTCGTGCTCACCTTTAGCCGGGGTTGCATCCTTACTGACATTTCCCGCACACGAGGACCTGAGCTCACTCTTATTGCGCCGCCGCTCACAAATAGCGCTCAGGGATGTTGTTGCCGTGGAAACATTTTAAGCAGCCTTGTATCCTCAAAAGGTCATCCAATATCCATTAAACTCCGTAATACAATTACAACCGTGTAAAACTACTTGCCAAAGTGTTAATATGTTTAATTGCATTTCTACTCTGTCTGGATCTTTGCTGTTCTGTGGTTGTCAGTTCGGGTTCCCCTTTTACGGTGCCTCATCAAGCTGAAGTCTCGCGAGATTTGTTGACATCACGCGCGAATTGATTTTGCATTTGACACCGCATGACTTTTGAGGCGTATTTTTTTTCCACTGGGTGGTCCTTTCCGTGCACCTGAACCTCTCGACAGCACGTACGTGTGTGTGTGTGTGTGTGCCGGCGCTTGCCCTGATGAAATGCCTTGTTAGCGGCACCAACAGAGGCAGCTGCACCTGTGCTCCATCTAATAGCCAAATGAGTGTACGACAGTCAGCAAGCTGCGGCCCAGCGCCACCTATAGAAGTGCACACACGTACTATATTCATATGAGGAGCCTATTGCTCAATACCTTGTGGCATATGGTTTATTTGTTATGTTAGGATCCGAAACAGGCTCCAGGTTAGATTCGATTGGGTGAAATGCTTCAGGCTGAAGGCTTGCGACAAATTGAAATGATGGTGTTTGGTCCCAGTGGCCCTTGTACATCCCATCCTGCGGACTTGGGCCCCCTGGCTTCTTATCTTATGCCACCAGTTTCGAACTTGGGTCTTAAACTGGACAGTGATTTTTTTTAAATTGGACGGGCAAATTGGTGTCGTTGCTAAAGTAAAGCGCGAACTTGGGTCTTAAACTGGACAGTGATTTTTTTTTTTAAATTTAACGGGCAAATTGGTGCCGTTGCTAAAGTAAAGCATCTCCTTTCTCAAGAGCATTTTGAAACAGTAATTCATGACTTTGTCACATCTCTTATTTTGGCTCCATGTACAGCAAATTGCATCCAGCGGTGGTTGTTTTAAAGTGCTCCATAAACACAGTTTGGCCGAGTTCAGTTGAGACGAAGTCCGGTTAATCGACGGCGTTCGGTGGCGGTTCCTGACAGTGACCAATCTCCCCGGAACAGAGACAGCCGAACTGACTTGACAGTATGCAAATGTGGGGCTACTTCGTCAAAGTTGGAGAGCTCGCACTTCAGAGTAAAGTCAACTGTAGACCCTCGCGCTCACCAGGGTCATTAATCAGCGTCATCTTGATTCAAGCGTAAAAGAAGGAGCCAGTCAAGGCTCCGTTTCTTTCTTCTGCAGACGTGCATGGCTGACAGCTAATTTACTTGCTGCTGAAGAAGAAAAAACTATATCCGTAGAGGTTTACGGTTACTCCTTGCCCACACACACACACACACACACACACACACACACACACACACACACTCTATCGTGGTTCAGTGTTCCCACCCCCCCACCTACATCGCAGATTTTTAAATCCATTCTTTGAA